GAATCCACAGATTTGTCTGGTATTGATTTGTTTCAAAAATACTCCAGTGAGTTGTAAAAGTTTTTCAGGAAAGTATCACAGACTAAGAGAATGTAAACCAAAGAGTAAAGTTTTCTGGACAGTCTGTAAATTTATATGAAGAAAACTTAGTTCTTCCATTTCTACCCTAAGTCCTGTGTAAGAAAAGCAGACATGGTGCACATGAAGCAATGACCAAGAACTTTCACAAGGATTAGACAATCCTCATTTCCACAGAATGACTGGCTGCTAAAGCACTTAGCACAAACTATTTATTAGTTGCCAAAGCAACCAGTAAAACAAATGGCAAAACTAAATGTCAAACTCAGTGTTTACATGGAAAATGATAGTGTGGGGTATTTTTATTATAAAATGCTGTAACTGCTGCAGAGATATCACGAATGTAGTACAGTTAGTTCAGAGGGTTACAAATGTGCAAACATCCCCAGTCTTTCCTCCTTCTGTTTCTAGATTTTCAATTCCTATATATCACATATTCTACATCCAATAATTGATCTCTTCTAATTAATTAAAATATATACTCTAAGTTTGTTATGAGCTAGCTCTCAAAGCTGAATGGACTTGGCAATATGGGTTGAATTTTACCCCAGTAACAAAGAAGAGAATATACCTGTTTCAGATTAATTATTCCACATTCCTGGTATGATGGTAACAGAAAACCTCTGGTCTAATTATTTTCCCCTCAAGAATTACACCAAGACCTACTTGGGGGAAAAAACAAAAAGGAAAAAAAAAACAAAAGGAGAGGTGAAGGTCCATCTCTGACTACTGCATAACAAATCCCCCAAAATAAGGGCTACCCACAGCAGAGGCCTGTCTGCTGCTAAATTTTAATGCTAGGTGTTAATTTTAATGAAAGGGTTAATTACAAATCACAGAATTGTTAAGACCAGTCTTTGAGTCACTTAGTATTAGATATAATTTTCTGGATATGGTAATTATTTTACCATTATTTTAACTTTTTATATTGTTTTTCAAGACAGAGCAAATATGCTATATTCCAGAGAACAAGTAACCACTTTGTATGTTCTGCTTAGCACTGCACCCTGAACTTTTCCAAATAACATGATGAGAAAGAGTATGCATAAGAGAACATTTCTCTACTGAGCTACACTTGGTGTGCAAATTCTGAGGAACTTCAGTTGCTTAGAAGGGTTACATTTACCATATATTGCATTAAATCTTTTCCTTTGTTGTGGGAAAATTTATTGAGTTACACCTTCCAAAACAACCTAACAGCCATACCATAAATGACAAGCACCTTTCAGCTAACACTGCAGGAACAGAGATGTCTTTTACAGCTAATTCAACTAGAAACTGTGAACAGTTAGCATACTATAAGCCCTCCAGCTACATTCTCTCTCTCTCTCTCTCAAACCACAGCAAGGCAGAATGAACAGACGTAAGTTGCTGCCAAGGAAGTTGTGTGAATCACACGGTTCCCAAAAGCATTCAACTGAACTGCTTAAAGCTCCTTCTTAAATTATACTTGCGAGGGACAAGAATCTCTGCAGCATTATGGAAGACATTAAATCTTCCTGTGAAAGCACTATTCACAATTATATATGCATTTGGTAATTAAATGAGACCCTCTTAGCCACTAATATACAAAACATAGCTTGTTGTGAGACAGTCACTTTAATCAGATGCCTGCCTCCTGTTTGAATTTACTGGAAAACTAGTTGGCAAAAGAAGTGGAAAATGGACACATGGTTTTCTCCAGCACTTTGCAAATAGAAATGCTGCAGAACTTAACTGTTTTCATTGAGCCTCACACTCATAAAGATATTTCAAGGGGAAAAAAGAAACCCACAATGTCTCTGGCTACAGTAAACTGTTAATATTTTTTTGAAAGAGAGAAAACTGGGTAGAAGATAAATTCACAGTGCTGGCAAGTAAAATCCATTTCCGTCATCAATGCATGCAATTATATTTTAGAACACAAAGATGACACTAATCCCTGCACTTAATCCCATTATAGGCTTTGGAATTATTACCAATGACATTGAACTTTTTTTGTGTCTCTGGAAACACATGCTGATCTCTAAGGAGGCAGCATGTCACAGGCAAAACTCAACTAGACTTATTGCTATTAGTAATGTATTAACCTTTGTACTATCGGGACAACTGAACTGATGACTGGCCTTATGGGCTAAGAACTTTTAACTTTAAATCACTATTATCAGACTCCCATGCCTTAAACCATTAACTAGAACATTAAACTACTGCCCAAAGTATTATCATCTATTATCATTGTAGCTTACTGCCTGCAAAGGACTTACTTCTGGTATACAATGTCCAAAGTGGAATTAATTTCAAGGTGTAATTTGGATCCAAATAAAATTGAGAGCAATACCTGTAAATGTGCTATTTTTAATTCTCCATGTTCAAATATCTCCTTACTAATATTTGAGTATTTTTGTCCAGAATTATTCAAAACTAACATATGGCAATACTCCTATTTATTAATGTTGTGAAATAAACAATAAATTATTGCCTTCATGCTTAGTTAGATTTCTATTTAAATTCATGCTAACTAATAAACCTTCTCCAGGAATAAAGTTTTCAGTAAAACTTATTTTCAGTAAAATGTACTGGATTCCATTTAGTAGCATTTTTCCAGCCACACAGGTGCAGCTCACTGAAAAATTCCCGTGGGTATTACAAAATGCCGATGGCATTCATTGTCTAACTGGCAGTAAGTGAGAACTCTCTAGCTGAGCAAGAAATAAATACAGCAATCCACAAAAGGGTCAAGCTTTCGAAGGAAATACTAACAGAATAATGGAGCAATAGGAATGACTCAGCACTTGGTTTCTAGTCATCACATTAATTTTCACTCTGAGTAAAGCAACCTTACATAGCACTGAAGGGCACTGCAGATTCAGAAGGGAAAATTCACCCTAATACTACCAGATACTATAGGATGACATATTCAATGAAGTAGGTACTACTGAACATTGTCCAAATCATTTTTTGTGGACCCCAGCTGAGCTCACTGCAGTATCATGCTGTATGCCTTGCCTAGATCAGACAAGTTCAAAATTCTTGTTTCCAGCTTAGGAACTGTATTTTTAATTGCCTTCCATTAGAGTTCTAATAAGGTCTCAGCCATTGATTAAGACTTACAGAGTACTGGTGATGATCATATGCCATGCTGCTATGACTGAAATTGTATTCCTTAATCATACAAATGAAGTGCTTCAACATCAAAGTTCAAGAGTTGAACATGCAGACGTGAGTAATACAAAGTAAAAGCCAGAAAACAAAAAGAGTTTACTTCTCTGGTTTATATATGTAAGAAAGATGTAATCAAATGAGAGGCAATGACTTCATTTCAAGTCTCTAGTATGAAAAATCAAATCCACACAAAAGCAGAAGAAAATGAGGCATGATGCAGTCAGTTGACTTTCATGGGCTGTCAGTACCCCCCATCCTTCCCAGGACAAGGTGAAGAAAATAAGATACAAAACCTTTGTGGGCTGAGATAAAGGCAAATTAATTTTAAAAAGCAACAACTGTGTGCAGAAGCAAAAGAAATCAAAAGAAAAATTTATCGTCTACTTCCCATCAGCGGGCAATAAGAAGCTACGGCCTAACCCAAGCATTGTAGCACATACTTAGGAAGATAAACACCTTAATAATAAATGCCTCACTCCCCCCTTTTTCTTAGCTTTTATTGATGAGTGTATCATATAGTATAGAATATCTCTTTGGGCAGCTTAAATCAGCTGTCCTGGCTATGTACCCTCCCAACCTCTTGCCCGTCCCCAGCCCACTGGCCTTTTTGGCAGGGGGTTGGGTTTGGAGAGATAGCCTTAATGCAGTGGGCACTGCTTAGCAGAAGCCTGGTAACTTATCAACACCTTTCCAGACACAGATACAGAGAGCAACACTGTGATGGCTCCTGTGGGGAAGTAAACTTCCAAATGCATTTCTGTATGAAGAAAGTATTCATTACGAACTATTATTGAACTCATCTAATAACAAACCAAAATATCCTGTGAACCATTCCTTTATGCAGCAATGAATAATACTGAGCATTAAGCAGGGAAAGGAAAAGCACCTTCCTAAAGAAACTGAAGACCATGTCAAATGTTTTTCTGACTCTGGACATAGCAATCACAAAACAAGGACAAACAACAGGTTCCCTATAAATAACAGGTCATTTGACAGCAGCCAACATAAAGAGCTGGGAGGCAGAAGAAAAACACATGAAATTTTTCCTTGTTTTATATTTATCATGTTCCTTTTTCTTTTTCTCAGTTACTGTGCCTTTCATTGGTGAGAAAAAAAGACAGTTTGAACGTCAATTAATGTCAGATGTGGTCTGGACTCCTTGGGGTTTTTACATTCACACACGTTTCACATAATGAGACAGAAAATTGACCATTCAGGTTCAAGAGATTAAAACGGAACAGCTTTTGATATAATGGCTCATATAGCAGGAAGTACATTTCACATAGCCTGATGTTTGTTTAGTCTGGTCATAGCAATAAACAGCAGATTAGCATTTGTCAACTTATGGATGGTACTCTAGTTTTCCTGATATTGCTAGAAGCTACTGTTGCTACAAATCTTTTGTCCTCTTGCTGTCCACAATGAAATTGTCTCAAATGTATGTGATCACACAGAGACCTGAAGGAAGAATTTCCTGTGTTATTCACTGCATTGTTTGTTGTTTTTTTTTTTAAATACTGCAAGAGGGCTCTTTTTCTTCACTTATTAAATAATGATGAAAACACAAGCATTGTAAAAAAATCCCATAATCTGACACCTGTTCTAACACTAGCAAACACTCTGTGACGTCCCTTGAACTGGAACTGCTTTTATACAAGTCAGCAATCTTTCTTGTTGATTCATGCTACTGATGTACCTCTGGGTTTTCCCATATACTACAGTAGAGGATTTCTGTAATTAAAATTATTTCCTTACTCAAATTTTCAAATGATGTTTTATACCTGCAAGATCTTCTTTGGAGGAAACCAGTCGAGGAGAGCTGTTACCTGGCTCAATTCTTAAAGATAATCTGGAAAAACAAGTTTTTAGAGAAATTAACAAAAAAAAAATTCTCAATAAAAGTTGAAAGAAATTGAAGAAGTAATTATTTTGGCAGTGCTAACTAAGAATTTTACCTTCTTGGAAGTGTAGTTATTTATTCTATGATGTAACAAAACAATTATTTTTTTGAAGTAAATCACTACCTGTCAGAACCAAGAAAGAAACTCTGAGGGAAGTCTATGAAAGCAGAAAGAGAAATCATTATTTAATTCTCCCTCTCAATTCAAAAACGTAATCCAGTCTTTTGCCTTGGGAAAAAAAAAACCAAACTAAAAAAGTTATTAATTTAGATATAAACCGAACATTTTATTCCCTCTAAACATGAAAGCAAATTTACTGTTACCATGTCAAAATGTACACACAGAAATAGCTATTTTGTTACTGTGATTTATAGAAAAGAAGCTTAATACTTAATAATACACTTAATAATAAAGAAAGTAATTAGAAGAAAGTATTATATGCCACGCTGCCTCACTCCATGTGTTTTATTATGTACTCACTCTTGTGCTCTCAGCACTCCAACAAATCTCAATGTCCCAATGCACATCACTTCTGCAATTTCTCAAGTTTAGGCAGTCTTAACTTGACATTCATGGGTCCTTTGCTCTGTACCAGTCTAACAAAAAGGTATGAAGGACTACAATGTTAAGTAAATTTTAACGGAATAGGCATAAATCCAAAGGAAATAACTGCTGTCATTGCCCAGCAGTGAACACACACAAAAGCTGGGAAGTTTCCAGCTGCAGCACCCTGCTGTGCACCCCAAGGAAAGGCTTTCTAACTTCAGATAAAAACATGCAACAGGGTGGAGGGAGAAACCTATGACAGCATTTCAAAATATCATGTATGGCTCAGCCATCACCCTCCTTATTACTCTTTATCGGGAATACCTTTCAGTTCCTTCTCTACAGTATTCCAACATTGTCAATTACATTTTAGTGTGAAGTCAGTTAACAAAGCCACAGTTCTTTTCATGTTTTTGAATTTCTATTCTTCTGACAGTACTAGATTCTTTTAACTACTCAAAAGTAATGTATTTCAAGTAGGTAATGAATCATTCCTTTCCAGACTACTTTTCTTTCTGTCCACTTGATTTCTGCAACCAGGGAGCAGTAACATAACACTCCTAGAGAGTTACAACAATACAAGTCAGTGCACGATTCAAATGTTGATCACATGGGAATATGGAAAAAAGGCAAAATAATTAAGTTCTTAATGAAGATTTAAGGCAAGTGCATTCTTACACCTTCTTTAGTGACAAAAGCAAGCAGGATCAACTTCCATGCAACTACTTGCACTATACTATTTCTCTCTCTGTCTAAAATTATTCTTGTGAGGAAGAAAAGAGGAACACAACAGCAGGAACAAAAGCTTAATATATTTATGCTTTTAACAAGGTTTTAGAAAGAGCTATGCTATGATTACACCCCCTAGAAAGCACGCGTGTTGTGTTGCTGCACTTAGAAATTTACTAAGAGAGCAACAAATGAGTCTCCAGTGCTATCAAATGAGATTACATCACTCTCCACTGGTCATCTCCCCAGAATATGTGAGGTTAGATAATGCTGGTTATCTGTTTGGTTATGTTAAACTGTACTCTGAATCTTAGCCCTTTCTAAGTTTCTGACAGCTTGGATGTCAACTTCCATGATGCCAGAATTCTGCAATGTTTCCAGAAAAACTAGAATGCAATTCATCTACTTTCAACCACCCAAATTAAATTTTGCAATTCCTGTGACATTCCATTTTCCATGGAACAGCACAAGTTCCACACAAGCACACACATGCTCAGTGTTTCCCAAAGAGGACTCCTAGAGCCACTCTCTGTGGCCCCTGAGAGGCTTAGTGTGATACTTTCAATAGATCAGTGCATGGAGACCTGAAGCGCTTACCACCAACAAGCATCATCCATATCCTCACACACCTAACGACATTCTCAGAGCTGAATGTTCAATGTCAATCACTAGCATTACTTTAAGTAAAAAACTACCTTGGTTCCAGCATGCCTAACAATCCACTCATAAGGCATAAAGACACTTTGTTTTGTGTTTGCCCCTGCGTATCATCAGAAATTCATCTCGGAAGTCACTATATTCATCCAATATCACAGTATTGTTAGGATTTATTTTTGTTTCAGGAAACCTTTTCAAAAAACAAATCTTTGTTTTACCATGGTAAGGAAGCCTAGTTTTAGTGCATGGTCTAAATGTCGACATATGAAATTCCAACATTCCAAATTTATACTGCAAGAGCTCAGCTAAGAGACACATCAGCATAAATCCTAGCTATCAGCCTCAGAAACTGCCCACAAGAAACTGAAACTTCAAAACTGAGGAGTTAGTATTAATAATCTAAGGTCAAACAAGAATTGAAAGTAAAATCTCTAGGAAAAAAATCAGCATAGGGATTCGCTGAATTAACAAATACCAACCCACCATTGGAAATTAAGACAAAGTTTCTACAGTAACAGGCACAGGAAGAGTATCTGAAGGCTTTGTTCTTGGATTGTAGCAAGATGGCTGAACAATTTCTGGTTGTTTAAGCCTGATACTCAAAATATTTTCTGGAACATGTTAGAGCAGGTATGCTCTGGAAAGTAAGATGGACAGAGTTCTATTTCAACCTAGTTTTAAATAACACTTTGCTACTGGGCCATACAGCTCATTTTAGAGTAACCTTCCTAGCAAGCAGGAAAAGAGGAACCTAACATAACGCAGAAAATAAAACAGGGAGTCAGTCTTGAACATAGTTCTTTCTCATGGGAGTATGCTCTCCAGTACAGGATGGAACTACTGCTAGGACAGTACAGGCACTGTAACTCAATTTTTCTTGTATCAAGCAAGTGAATGAAGACAAAGAATAGTCTTTCACAGAAGTTTAGCTGCTCCAGGAGGAGGCTGAACAAAACTTATTAATCTTTGGTGAAACAAGGATGATGTTAGTTGCACCAAAGCAGTGCAGTCCTCAAAGCTGTCCCTTAAGGCATTTCTGACCATTACTTGTGTACCAAACAAGATGGGTCTGGCAGATCTGGAACATTCTGAGCTGCCAGTCTAGCATTTAAACACTAGGTCCTGTGACAGTAGGTCAAGCAACAGTAGGTTGCTGGGACCTTCTGCTGGAAGGATACCGTCCCCAAGTATCCCCCAATTTTCTCCTGGAGAGGCTGCAGCCCATGGCTTGGACAAGTGGACTCTTCACTGGGAAACACCTGGTTGGATGACTCGGCCTAGAGAGTGGTGGGGAATGGTGCCACATCCAGTTGGGGCCAGTCCCTAATGGGGTTCCCCATGGCTCAGTCTTGGGCACGGTCCTATTTAATATCATTGTTGATGATCTGGACAAGAAGTTTGAGTGCACTCTTGGTAAGTTCATGGATGACAGTAAGCTGGGTGGGAGTGTTGATGTGTTGGAGGGTAGGAATGCTCTGCAGAAGGATCTGGACAGGCTGGACTGATGGGCTGAGATCAATGATATGAGGTTCAACAAGATGAAATGCTAGTTCCTGCAATTCAGTTACAACAACCCCATGCATTGCTACAGGATGGGAAAGAGTGGCTGGAGAGTGCTCCAGGAGAAAGGGACCTAGGGATGCTGATCAACAACAGCTGAGCATAAGCTCATGTATGCCCAGGTGGGCAAGAAGGCCAATGGCATCCTGGCCTGTATCAAAAGTACTATGGCCAGCAGGTCTAGGGAAGTGATTGTCCCTCTGTACTGGTGAGGCCAAAACTTGAATCCTGGATTCAGCTCTGGGAACCTTGCTGCAGGAAAGACATTGACGCACTGGAGCATGCCCAGAGAAGGGCAACAAAGCTGAGAAAGGACCTAAAAGGATAAGGCATTTGAGGAGCAGCTCATGGAGATGGTGCAGCCTAGCCTGGGTAAAAAGAGGCACGGGGGGACTTTCTCTGCAATTGCCTGACTGGAGGGTACAGCCAGCTGGGGGGTCAGCCTCTTCTCCCAGGCAACCAGCAACAGGTCAAGAAGCAATAGTCTCAAACTGTGCCAGGGGAGGTTCAGGACGGACATCAGGAAGAATTTCTCCACAGAACGGGTTGTCAGGCATTGGGAAAGGGCTGACCAGGCAGGTAGTGAAATTATCCCTGGAACTGTTCAAGAAACAACTGGATGTGGCACTCAGTTTACCTAGTGTAGTTGACAAGGCGGTGATCAGTCAAAGGTTGAACTTGATGATCTTGGAGGTCTTTTCCAACCTTAGTGATTCCATGCTTCTGTGATTCTATTTTGTCTATAATAGTCCTGTGGAAGGGGGCAGTCAAACCACAATTACAGCTACTGAACCATATGGCCACTGGATCCCTATGAATCTCAGACTAACAGTGAAGGTTTTCTCCACCCCACCTTTCACCACAATTCTTGATGGAAAAGATCCAGAGAATATAGCTGCCTGGGAGGCTTACTGAAGACAAACTGCAACAAAGGTTCACTGCTGCAAGTACTAATTTAAGTACTAATACTTACTATAAGTACTAAGCACCTGGCATTTAATACTTATTCCCTTAGGACTGGAACTAACACAGTACAGCTAGGACTTCTATAGCACCATCATTGCTAGGAATCAGTATAGCCTTTTAATTGCCGATCAATTTCTCTTGAATGTTTTCCCATAGCATCTTGCCTATCTGAACCTAAATTTGAACTGATTTTTCTGTAAGTCATCTTATTACAATATTGCCTAATATGCACTGAAAAACCAAACCCCCGTCCACACTAATAATAGTATAATACAAATAACAGTCTTCACACTGGTTCCACTCAAAAAACAACTGTGAGAATACAAGGCCTGACCTAACGATGTCAAAAGGTCAGGAAAAAATTTATAGGAATGGCTGCAAGGTATGTCTGGTCAGGAGATGATGTAGCATTGCGCCACAATGCTACATACTGTTAAAACTGAGCAGCTTCTGCAGAAAACAGTATTTGGGCTGACCAAGAAAGATCTGTTATTTTTAGGATATGACATCATTGTCAGGGGTTTTCTGGAGCATTCCTACTTGCTGACAAGCACAAACCTAAAGGAAGCAATTGGACTGGCACAAAAAAATTGTAGAGAAAAGCTTTGTTTATATAAAGTGGCTGCCATATTTTCCTTTCCAGTGTAATTGAGGTTCTCATTTGGCAAAACACGTGCTGGGATTCTGCCAATACATTTTAGGACAACTATCTAAGCGTCTCTCCCTGACAGCCTGGTACTGAGATAGTTCTGTTCTTCATGCCAAAGGTGACACACACTTCTCTGCAGAGAGCACTAATGCTGTCCCTGGCTCAAAAAGAGCAGTCACTGCAAAGAAAAAGACAGAAGAGATTCTTACCCACTCTAAAAACTTAGTACTCCCTGCATTTTTAAAGCTTACAGTTTCCTCTGGCAGGAGACCAAAAAATGCTATGAAACTAAAGGGAAACTAAGAGGAAAATGTGAAATCACTCAAAACAAAATCCAAAAACTTCTTACCCAGTGTAAAAATGGAAGAGGAAGGAGAGTTTTCTTTAAGGGTAGATCTGACAAGTTTTGATGAATTAATTAAATTAATTATTTTAAAAATTAAAGTTTTATTCTGATGGTAGAAAAAGATCAAAGTTCTCCAATGTATATAAGCTGTAGCAAATTTCCTGTGGTAAGAATCAAATCTTTCCCTCTTTTCAATACCTTTTGTGACTTTAGTCCAGTTTTTCCTTGCCACAGTGGAAGCCTGGCAAGAAAACCACTAATCTGGATTGAATTAATCTCACAAATAACTAATTTTTTTTAAAAGGATTAAATTATCTTTAAGATATATCAAATACCTTTAAGCCTTATTAGTAAGGTTGCTACTAAAGTTACAATAATATTCAAATTTAAAATGGAATTACTTCTAGTTTTTACAAATATTATATTATGGTATCATATGTTTGTGGAAAACACTTGTTTAATTAATTTTTTTCTGAAATAGTACAGGTCATGAAAGCTGTTGTATACATGGTGTTAACACTGTTGCACCATCAGGAAACTCCATCTAAAAATCAATTGAACAATATGAAGTTTCTTTAATCCAATCCAGGGGTTGTAAAGCCTCTCCTAACTACAGTTCTTCACCTTTACTAATGACTGCTTAGTTTAATTTTTCTGTCTTCACAACTTTAACGAAGCACAGAAGCATGTGTGAAATTAGTAAGAATTTACACATTCAACCATAGTACTCTGGCAGGAATTCTCATTCTGTGGAGCAGATACATTTTGCTATCAGAACAATAAACACTTTCTTTTTTTTTCCAAATTATTTTCCTAGAGAAAAATCACTATTCTTAGTTTCTGTGGTCAACCAGACACAAAAGCACAAACATCTCAAATCATCATCAAGCACAGGCTTTTGAAGTGAATGACCCAATGGTCTTTCAGCTTCTTTTTGAAGTGAATGACCCAGTGCCCAGCTTCGTTTGCAGAAGTTTAGCCTAAGCAAGGGGACAAATTTTAGACATTTTATCTCTATTTGAAGTATGATAATACTGATAATACTTTGAGAAGTTCCAAAAGAACACCTTATCTGAATGCTTTTACTTTTAGAACTGTTCTCTCAGGGAAAGCAAAGTTCCACGCAAATTAATCACAAGAATTCCTATCAGATCTGGTCAAGGTATAGTCCTGCATGCGCTGTGGCTGGAGCCAGAGCTCAGAGGAACAGCTGGAGTTACCACCAACTGCAGCTCTATTCAAAATTGAAAATACAAACTGTCTGAATCATGTTATGCTAAAACATGGGTTGTTTTGTCTCTGTTATGATGACACCTTTTCTTCCATCTCAGTAGGAGGTTGCATCTGTATGCCAGCAGCGTCAGCAGTAATTGCAGCAAAATGTACATGGTTGGTGTAAGTCACTCTTCACATGCATGTGTACATGACTCCACACAGTAATGCAGTCTTCTGATTACTGAATATGCTCTTCTCTTCTCACAAACACTAAATGGTAGCCTTCACTTCATTAACTGATCAGGTTTCAACTTAAAATTATTTTATTATTTGTCTCACTACTCCAAATAAGAAGAGGTTCGAGAATTCCATTACCCTGATAGTTACAAACCACATTTCAACATTTAGCTTCTACAAATTTTCTATGTGTTTTATCTTTGTGATGTCATTACAATTTCATTTAAATTTCTTTCTGGCCTCTCCATTTTCTTCCAGCTGTGTTTATACATAGTGATTCCCTTACCTAAGCTTCTTCTTTCCCAGGTTAAGGCCCAACCTAGTTCTTTACATCTAGGATTAGAAGATACATTTTATTCACCTGATTGCACCATAATTTACTTAAACCCTCAAGCATGCAAGCATAGATGGCCAGAACTGCACACATGCTCCATGTAAGCTCTCACCAGCTCCTTCTGAAGTAGTATAAACAACTCTATTTTTTCACAGAAACACTATATTTGATAAGCAATAGGGATGAATACTTTCATGGCTGTAGCTCACTCGTGATAGCTTTCTACAGATCAACACCGTAAACTAATGTTAGAATAATTACATAACATTCTGGGGTTGGTGGCACTATCATTTTAGTCATCAAATTCATTATTTGTGATATCCAAACCACGTTCTATTTCAATGAACCCTTCCATCACTGTTTTATTAGCACACAGTTTAAGTACACATAAATTCTGAGAGAAAATTCTTAAATTAAGTATTTCACAAAACTGGTAACAAGACTGGTTTTAAGAAAGTTCATTACCAACCCTGCTCTCTAAAACATATGCTAAAATATTTTATACTAGCATTGTATGATTGAACATATGTTTGCTTTGAATACTTCAAATTCTGCTCACCTAAATAGTTCCTCTATTTGTCAATAGCTAATTGTATAGCATTGCAACTAGCTTGGTTGAGCTATTTAAAACCTTCGTTCCTTAGCCTATGACTTAATTTGCTAGCTCTCTCAGAATTACTGGCCAGGGATTATCACTTCTTTTAACTAGAGTACATTCACATATTGACTAATGTGCTCTGCTTCAAACCTCTGTGTGGGTTAACTCTTCTCCAGGTCTTTTGTAAATATTGTTTTAATACACTCAAACCCCCAAAACTTAAACCCCCAAATCATAAGTATTAACTTATTAAAACTAATAACTTGAAATTAGTATATATTCTCAATGTATTATTCATAATACTATAGAGTCAATGCTGGACATCTTGGAGATTACTTTAGTGTTACTGAACAAAATTCTCAGAACACAATCATCCTGTGATAGAATAAAGACTAGATTTTCATCTACTCTAAACTGTTACTTTTCACTAGTGTATTTCACTTTGTAAATTTGCTTACAGTCAAAGAAAGACAGTCATTCTGGATTTTACTTAGCAAAAACACCCTAAAACATCTTCAGCCAAGAGCTTTTTGCTCAGCTCTTAATAAAACTAAGGACTAAGTAATCTTTCTGTTACATTTCCCAATGCCTGAAGAAAACAGCAGTACTTACTTGTAATTGTCATCTTCTACAAACTTCTGAAGTTCTTCAATGTAACGGACAGACTTCAAATACTTTTGTACATGGGGAAGTGTTGTGAGATGATCTGTGGAGTGTTCAAACAAACAAACAAAATGTCAACCAAAATTATAATTTTTTCAGGTTTTTTTTTCTGGTTCTTATGATACCTTCATGGAAACAGAATTTGAACCTCCCTAAAAAATAAACTGGGCAGAAATATTACTCTGACTCTAAAAAGGTGTTAAAGACTTGACTGAGCAAAAGTGATGCTCTCAGTTGTTAAAGAAAACACAGATGCATTTCATCATCATGAAACCTGGTGGATTTTATTAGGTGCTATCTTACAGGTGGAAAAAAATTATCTGCTGCAAAACTGCTTGAATTTTTCGTTCATTGTTCTGGGGAAAATCAAAGCCTGTAGCTATAGGTATTAGTGGTTCTCATATGTCCAAGAACTGAAGAGACTTAAAAGTTATTAAATAGCTAATTAAGAATTACAATATCAGGAATGAAAGACACTAAGTTCAGAATGACAGAAAAACCTCTTGACACATGGTGCATGGACAGGAACATGCCTTTTAGTACCTAATAGGTAACAGGAAACTCTACACAACCTCTGTTATAGCTCTTACAATTTCAAATACATGCTTATTTGCCCAATTTACTGGTAAGACTGAAGCTACACAGAAGTGGAAGCTACATCACTTACTAGTGTTCAACTCTACCAACATTTGCCTCTTGTGTTCTCTCAAAATCTGCTTCCACAATTTCACACTAAAGAAATTTTAGTTAAGGCTTGATAGGCATAACAAAATTTACCAACCATAGTTGCAGGATACTTGCAGATCAGCTATTATTCGGAGAATATTGTTCATTTGATTGGATCTTTGTTCATTCTCCATTATGCTGTCTGAAGCAGGATATGCAGAATCTATGTAGATTAAATCCAAGAGATAAATTCCTGAAACAAACAAATCAATCAACCAATTGATCTAGTGTTTCAAACAGAAACAGTTGCAATTTTTAATGAATATAGCAGCCAGAAGCTGTTTATCCACCCTGTGCTCTGTAAAATTAAGTTTTATGATTTTTATTTTAATCTTGGCAGTGATGTTTTAAACTGTTCTATATATATGATGTGATAGTAGGCATAGATAAGAAGCAGTTCATTTTGCACAGAGGAATGACAAAATTATTCCCTTCAGCAAAAGACTTCAAGACCCGTTTCTCAAAGGAAAGCCTCAGGGCTGCCCCATGCCAAAGCAAACACACAGCACTAGCTTTTCAAACTTTGGCTCACATTTGTGCTACTGTGCACTGAAAAAAACTAGGATGTGAGGCCACCGGGATATTTTCCAGAGGGTGAGCTCATGGGCAGCTTCTTCCACAGGCAAGCATCATTTTCCACTGATACTCACTTTTCTCTATTGTCACCAGAACTAATTTTTCAGCTGGATATTGTATGCAGACAACAGTGTTCACTAGTTTATGGTCCCATGGAAGTAATAACACATGCTGAGGAAAAGCACAGCCAAATAATCCAGGACTACATTTATTAATGAAAATCACTCTGTGTAAAGGGGACAAATAATTTTTACGTTGGTAAAAAAAACCCCAGACCTGTAATACCAAGCTTTTAATCTTCTACTGGAGAATTCAAACAAAGAAGCAATATTAGTAACAGTTTAAAGACAGGAAAACATTAATACGGCAAAAAAGTGAACTTCAAATGTAGCAGTCAATGCCACCCGGTTAGCACATTTTGAATCCTCCATCCACCAGACAACAATTTCCAAGGATAAATTTTACTGAAAAAAATATTTATGGAGAACTGCAGTGTCCAGCAGCATGCAAACCTAGGTCTGTATACTTGTGTCTTGATTTACAGTTAAGCTTCTCCTATTATTTTCTTTATTCAATACTCAAGGCTTCTGAGAAAGTAGCACTGAGGCAGATAATAAATAAGCATACTTTGGAGTTGATGGGTACTAACAAAAAGATCCCAATAAAAATACTCCCAAGCCCTTGAAAAATCAGTGACTATTCAGCTTCACTCAGTTCTGAAGAACCTGAATTGGAGAATGTACGCTTTAAAATGTTCATGAACAACTATGGTGCGCAGTTTTTTCCTCGTTATGAAAGACTGACATAACATGCTATGAAAGACAAAACACTTTCAGTCAAGTAAACCACATGTACAAATTTATACTAATGAGAAAAGCTGAGCAGGTATTACTTTAAATAGCAGTAACAGAAACAAAGAGAAATTGGTTTTTTTTAAGGCATTTTCCTGCAAATTAAAAAGTTTTCTGTTCTGCCACAGATTTCTTTTACCTGAGCAGCACTATTTATTCTTAACAATTCAGAATTTGGGGGGTTTATGACAATTTGAAGGCATGAGGTGTAATCCAAAACTTACAGCACCTAAAATTGTTTCACAAATATACACTGTTGCAAAACTGATCATAAAAAACATCTGTGCAGATAAAGACTGAAAACCTGCATAATTATCAAATTATTATAAAACTGTACTGAAAGATAGTAGGGCTACACACAACCAAAAATTAGGTGGTTAAACCACACCACTACTGCATACTTGATGTATACTTTCATGCATAGTGCTCTGTTAAGGGTCTGCCCAATTCTGCAAGTGCAAGTAAGCTAGGAAACAGCCGATGTATGATATTTTTGTCAGTCAGACATTCCCTACTTTGCAACAAAAAATAATTAGCTGATAGAGAAGTATTTCACACAAACCTGAGGACTCCAATGTATTATTCTTAGGTAACATTTTGATCAAGTACTATAATTAAACCATTACAGTTATTTGGTAAATTGTACTATTACTGTGAAAACCACAAACACATGCTGTAAAAGGAAGTAAAAAAAAAAAAGTTAAATGTTTTAATGAACAATTTAGTTCCCTACTTACAATCATGTACACTTCTAAAGATATTCACAGCCCCTAAATGCACATATGCTGCTGTGTAACACAGATGTCTGGGCATAGAGCATTCCTCCAGTACAGGAAGCAGAGTCTGCAAGACACGCAGTAGCTGGCACACATAACAGAAGAGAATCTTTGGAAAGTAATTATTTTCCATTTTTGCTCCTCACAAATTGAATAGTGACACTGGTGTGACTGGAGGGCCAGAAGAGACAAGGATGTATATCCAATTTGTAGTCAACTATATTTATGAAAGCATTTTCCTACATACAGTAGTGTGGTTGTATCACACTAAACAGAGCAGAGGACAGAGGGACAGTAACTTATCAATTAGCTATGTGGTAGAAAGTCCAAACTACTACAGTCAGCAGTTTGTAAAACCAAAGACACCATTGTTAGGAGATTAGCTCATAGGCAAAAAAGCCAACTGTTTTGTGGTATTGCTGGTTTCAAGAAGACTGGATATTTTCCAAGGATTAAGGGCTGGAAAAATTTTCTACAAAACCAAATGTATATACTGGTTAACCTTGGTAGGATTTGGAATAGTCTAAAAAAATCTGAAGACAAACCTTTGTTAAGGCAACACCATGTGATTTGTAACACACAGAAATGTATTCATCATAAAATGTCTCAAGAGAGACTTTACACATTTATGACATGGTCCCATGGACGGCCGTCAAAGTGATTACAGGATTGGAAAGCTTGCCATATGAAAAAAGGCTAAAGGAATTGGGTTTGCTCAGCTTAGAGAAGTGAAGGGGCAGGAAGGAAACCTAACAGCTCTTCCAGTACACACAGAGCAGTCACAGGGAAGATGGAAATCCACTCTCCAGAGTGATAGCAACGGGTCAAGAAGTGATGGGGAGCATTCTATCTGCATATAAGCAAATTTCTTCTCTGTGAATACACTTAAATATTGAAATAGGTTTCCCAGAGGAGGACAGCAATTTCCCTTGCTGGAAATACTCAAGATATGGCTTGACTGGACACTGGGTAACCTAATTTATGGCCCTGCTTTCCACAGAAGGTAGACCAGATAATCTCTAGGGGTCTCTTCAAGCCACAACTGTACTGTTCTATGACAAGTTTGAAAAAAATGTGCTGGCCTATACCTGCATATCTATTATTGAAGGGGATTTTGAAGTACAGCAGTTACATGGACTAATTTGCAGCAGCAGGAAGGCTCTGTATGTACAAGCAGACAATGGATCCTGATTTTAACTCTGAATAAAGCGAGTACTTCAAGCAATCTCTTTTATCATGTGATATAAGCAAAATTTACCTTATAAAAATGTAGAGCTAGAGAGGGCACATTATTTTGGTTCAATCTGTCTCAGCAACATCAACTAACAAAATTAAAATTTGATGTTGATCCCATGGTCTTTCCTGAGTAATCTCACCATATTCAACCCTGGGAATTAATCATCCCACATTTGCCACCACAGAGATGAAGCTTAATATAAAAAAAAAAAACAAAAACAGATCAATCAGTGCAACAAAACCCAAGGAACTTTCAAACTAAGATACCAGTTGGTGAAAGAAAATGTTACCAAGAACTCAACTAGAATTACATTCAAGAAGCTGTACTGTGAATCATCTCTGACTGGTGTAAATCATTTTGTTATCTTCTGAAACAGGCTAAAAAATTCTGAAGCTGTCTGGAGCTTTCTACCAAAGCTTTCCCCCTAAACAAATCAGATTTTCTCCAGAATACTGTCTTTTTTTTTTTTTTTCATTTTCCCCCAAAACCCAGCTATTTCCTAATACTTTTCCCATGAATCAGGAAAAATACATTACAGAAGATTAAACTCTTTAAGAGTGATGCATTTTAATATTTTTAAACATACGTCATCCTATGTCAGAAAGCAGAAAATGCTTCAAAAACGACTATAGGAAAAAGGCAAAGGTACAATAGCTGTTTTCCAGATGTTGCTTCCTGTCAGCAGCAAGTGGTGGTTAGGGACTTCCTGAGACAGATCTTACATAAACACTTTCGGGTTTAAGTCTGGGTGGTCATTTTTCTTTACAATGTTTTTTCTCTGGATCTATCAATTTTTTCTTTTTCCTGCTATTCCTACAAGACGACTTATCCTTTTTTAACTTTTGGGTTTGAAAGATCTTGTGGCAAATGAATCTGGCAATTGAACTGCACCCTGCCTGGAAAAACAATGTTTGATTTCTCAAAGTTTACCTTTTTAAGATTGGCATATTCTTATCTCTTTCTGCTTGTCTTGAAATTCTGGTCACTGACTCAAAGTTAATTTCTATGACCAGATGTTTTATAGTATTTTCACTCATTCTCAAAGCCAAGTCTTTCAAAGCACTCCTCGCCAACTGTATTACATTGCTGAAGACAACTGTCAGACTTCACAGCCAGAAATAACTGGATGTTAGTACCTTTCTGCTAGTAGGGTGTTTTATTCTTTAATCATAGACTTTAATACAAGCTCATCACCGAGATTCTCAGGATGAAGGACAAATCAACTATGAAATCTTTTGCAAATCACATCACTCAGCCTAAAGCCTCTTAAAAAAAACAGTGAACTGCACTTCACAGCATTACAAAAAGTATGTCCATTTGGTCCAAGCAGAATGCCCACACAAAGGCAAATCCTGTTTTTTCTCTTCAGTCCTTCCAAAGGAGGAAACAACTATTGTTATCCAAACAATTCAGTTATGTTACAAACACCTGGCACATCCAAATAAAAGCTCCCTTTATCAAGTTGGCACAACTTCTCTTTTACCCTGTAGACAAAACTGCAACAGGTTGAAGAAATAAGCTTTGTCATGTGCTATTTGGAATAACCCATACACAAAAGCTTACAGGTTATTTAGAGAGCTTTTAAAAGACAAATAAAGCACTCAGTACTTAATCAAAAGGTTGATCTGTGTAAAAATATGTTTCTTGTTCAACAAAGAGGACAGTCAAAGAAACAGAGTTTGGCTAATTTTGATTTTTCAAGTATTTTATTTATAACATATAAGAGAACACTGTAAGAGAACACTAATGACTA